TTTGGGAATGAAATGGTAAATGGACTGTATTTATATAGCGCTTTCTCACAGTGTGTTACACTGGCCAAAGCGCTTTACAGGAGATCATACACCATTCACCCATTCACACACACATTCACACACCGATGACGAGAGGCTGCCGCACACTGGCTATTTATATTCATAGGAGCATTCTTCAGCATTAGCACAGTCACATGGAGCGTCGAGCCATGGGTACAGCCTAGCAGTATACTGAAGGGGCTCTGCATCAGCTCAAACAAAGACACAACACAACTTAATTTCGGCACTGCCATCATCATTTAGCCTATGAGGCATAAACCAGTGTCCTTTGGTCAACACTGTCTGGTGTGTCACAACCTGTCTAAATGGCTGCAGTGGGAATTATTGAGCAGGAGGAATGCACAGCGCAACTTCAGAGAGGTTCTCCATCATGTGGCTGAGATTACAGGTTGGTCACTGATGAATGAAAGTGGGTGTTGTGCAGACTATGAGATATCACAAAATCCCCATTCATTTTCCCTTGCGCTGAATTGCATCAACTCAGTAAACAGCCCGGTGAGGCAGGAGGTTAAAACAGGTTCTCTCACCTCGTGGTGGATGGACGTGCCCTGGAGAAGACACACCTAATTACTGTGACTCACATATCTACAGCAAGATACAGGCCCAGCTTGGCAGTAAACATGTCCAATTTCTAAAGACTGTTAGATTAGCTTGAGACACACAAGTGGGCTACACATTATATCAACAGGCAACAGCAATGAATGTAATGGGAACTTCCACAGTAATGGGACTGGGAAAAAAACATTGTGCATGATCACACATCAGCTTTTGGTGGAGTAATATTGTGGAAATATGATCATACTGTGTAATCACCTCACATAATTCTATTGCCTTTAATACTGATTCTAAGAAACTTAGAATTAGAAAAATTTGAATTAGTTGAGACGTTTGCATTTTTTCAGTTGTATTAAAACACATAACAGTTAACATCAGTCTAAATGTTTTGTATGTAATACTGTGTTTGTTTACTATACAGTAATATAATCAGTATTAGAAAAAACAATTCCTGCTAATATTGTTGCTTTCTGTCACTTCGCCCAGTCCGACGTGACATCACCTGTGGAGCTCGTTCAACAGGCTAAGCATCTCCTCCTGCGGAGATGTGCAGGTCTGAGGTGTTGATGAGTGGGATGTCAATCCATCTCCTGGCACTGATTCAAGGAGTCCAGCTGGGTTTTTTTTGTTTGTTTTTGTTTTTTCCTATGCATGCCTCAACTTCTACCTGGGGAACATAAAGAAGCCATGCTCGCTAACCACACACACCAACACACCCACCCCACTGTGCGAGGGTGTCCTGGTATTTAATGAGCGCATGTGAATAATTGAGCCCACTTCAGGCCTGGAGGAGCAATGGGGGACTACAGCCATCATTAACAGTATTACTCGCATGTACGCACACATTTGTATGTTCAAGCATTCTGTATACACAAAAACACATAGAAAAGAAAGACCTCTGCCAAAAATACAGCGCCATCTGTTTGAGCCTAAGGCCTTGGCTCTAAAGCTACAAGGAAGATGATTTGTGCCTTTTGGATTCTGACCTGCTGGGTGTTGTACATACAATAAACCTAACACAGGCATACACTATTACAATATCTAAACAGAAAAAGAAGGCTGATTTCAAAACCCTATAGACTTGTTCAAATGCAGTGGGAAATAATGGAGAAAGGCTACAAGTTGTTTTGCAGGTTTGGCTGGGAAATAAATTTCTTATTGCTCATCATCCTTGTTTATCATCATATTATTACAAAACGCTCAAGGTGAGGTATGATGGTTCACAGCTGCTATGTCTAAATGAATGATGAGTTAAATTTTAACAAAAATCTGTCACAGCAGAACATCTAGGAACAATATATGTTTTGAAAATTGTAGCATTGTGTTCCAGAAAAACACTACAAAACCATTTGACTCGGTAATGCCGAACACTTCTGTACAGGAAGAAGCTGTGTAGTCTGCAATGATGCTCCCGCTTCGCTTCAGCTGGGAACAATTGTTGCAAGTCATCCCCGCATCTGTCCCTCCCCTTGTTTTGTGTCTCTACAAATTCTAGTAAAAAAAACAAACACATTAATGGTCTATAAAAGACTAATAAGTATTGTTAACAGATTGGTGACATAATGCTGTGACAAACACAACTATGTCAATTACGCCGCTTCAGCACATTGTCCGCTCCCATCTGTGGGGTCAGGTGCACTAACATTTGGTAGCAATGTTAACTAAATATGCAAGTTGCAAAGACTGGCAAGTAATATGAATTTGGGTAGAGTTCAGCTTTACAATCAGTGTGAGAGCTCTTTATTCCTCTTTGCTCACAGAAAACATGAGCTAGAGTTTAAGGAAGTGTCCATCACGTCCCCAATCTGTCTCAAAATGGGCTCTCAACAGGAACAGTTTGCTGCACGTCCCTTTCACAAATAATACAGAGAGGAGAGATGTTTTCACAGAGTGCACATAAGTGCTATCATCCTCTGTTGAGGACTCGCTCCTTAATACACAATTGAGCCCAGCCTGCTTCTGCTGCATCTGAAGTCTGGCTGGTTAACTGAATGATTGGCCTAGAAAGGAAGTAAATAGTAATAATCTGGACTCTCAGAGATGCCAACTGAAGAGTAAGACACACAACATAAACACAAGTGCTCCCGAGTTTAAAAAATACCCGGACCAACAGCTACAAATTCACAAGTGAAAAACTAATCTGTGTTGTATTTTGCTTGTGTCAGCAACTTATGTATAACACAACTGGCAGATGGCAAAGGATGTCAGCTGTAAGCTTTTTATCTCAGGCCCAGCTGAGAGATGGCAGGGTGAGACTGGCAGACCACTCCCAGTAAATGATCTTCAAGTATGACCAGTCACCAGCTCCTCCCTTCTCTTCCTATGGAGGCAGCTCATTCCAATATGTACACAAAGGCTGAGATCAGCTGAATGGCCTAAGCGGCAGCAGAGCTCCTGACCATGGCACTCACACCAGCTGAATGGTCCTCACTGTGTCCCCATGGTCACAGGGGGCAAGCAAGAACTGGGTTGTTTTTAAAGAGGCCATTTGGCAGGCCTGTGATCTTATCCAAGCAACACAGGAACAGGCATTTCCACTTGGTTCAGAGGAGGGATTGTTGTAGACTCAAGAAAAATAGCGTACAAGGTGATGACATTGTTGCATGCATCCAGTCATAATGGGACCAGATGACTTGCACACAACGCACATCAAACTGATATACTACAAACATTAAAATATTTAATTCTCATTTCCAGTTGACATTTATTCCCTTGTTTTTCCACCACACTTGGTACTTGAGGTTTGAAATTTGAAAAGCAAAGCATTCGCAAGCTATGTTGTCAGGCAACCAATAAGTGGAAGACATACAATGAGTAAACGTGGACAGCAGGATAGTGTGAATTTTGTTGTTTTTTAAGTGCACCAACAAAGAAGAGTCTTCACAGCTGTTCTTGTTTGCAACAGCATTACCACAAGAAAACTGCCCAATAAAACAAAACGTAGTTGATGGTGTTCAAATCAAACAAACCTTGACAAATATTTTATGGTAATAGATCACCTAGGGGTGGGCAATGCAGACCAAATACTATAACATGTGAACAAAATCACAAAACCCCGGCTGAGCACTGCTGTGTTGGAGTTGTCCCCAAGGAACGAGAGGGTCACCTCTATGCAACTGACAGTTGCTTGCACTTATATGCCGAATGGTAGTTCAGAGAATGTGGCCTTCTTGGAGACCCTGAGGGAGATCCTCGAGGGGGCACCTGCTGAGGACTCCACAGTTCTACTGGGGGACTTCAACGCTCACATGTGTAATGAGTGTGAAACCTGGAAGGGGGTGATTGGGAGGAAAGATCTGCCCAATCTGTACCCGAATGGTGCTCTGTTATTGAACTTCTGTGCTAGTCATGAATTGGCCATAACAAACACCATGTTCAAGCACAGGGTGGTTCAGAAGTGTACTCTGTACCAGAACACCTGAGAGATGAGTGCCAGTGTGTGTCAGTGGTGTAGTACAAGACAGCAGATAACATCTGCCCTGGCAGAGGGGCTGACTTGAATATGTATGGATACATGAATGGTCCACATACTCTAAGTGTAAAATACAACAAACACATACATCACCCACCTCCATACGCTGATGCATACAAGATTGAGGGTAGTATAACTGAGCTATAATTCCAGTAATACCAGGTTTACACAGGTGAATAAAGCTCTGTACACATCTTGTTGATCACTAAAGTCATACACTGCCTTTGGTAATTACTGACTGTCTTTCAAAACAGCTGTACCTTCATGACACCAGAGCAGATCATGACTGTAGGCCGCATCATTACATCTCAACACTAGTCACAGTGACTCACAGTCTCACTGCAATAAATCATTTTTAAGCTGAAACCTCAGCACAAATGGAAAGTAAAAAGCATGTATGGTGTCCAACTTGAAGCCATGTGGTCACAGACTAATCAAATTCATATTATCTGAAGATGTGTAAGTAAGATGACAAGGAGAAGGGACAAGTCAGACCTTGCCTCTGGCCATCCCCGTCTGTCACACAGCTACAAACTGAGTTGTGGCTTTGGTATTCAATTACACAGAAAATGAAGTGATTTGGTACAGAAACATATTTACCTGGATTTAAACAGTCTACTGTGGTTTGAGATCAAGAAAACCCAAGGCAACGTACGAAAGTCTCTGTTCCTCCCGTACAATGCCGCTTGTCATGCACTGCTAGCTTACATATCCACATCCTGTATTAGCACAAATAAGCTAGGTAGCACCGCCTGACGTGTGCTCTCATCCCTTTTACTGTAGACCGAGACCAGCATAAGAGAAGGAAATGTAACCGCTGCCGATCAGCCTACACCGCTGAAAGTCAAAGCTACCTTTGAAATCAGCCATAGCATCCCTTCCACCAGCCCCACCGGCCCCTTCCCTCTGTTACCTTCAGACAGCTCCAGATCCAACTCCGCCAGTTGGTCTCTAACCTCTTTCGGCAGGGCGGACAAATCCACGCCACGGTCTGTCATGACTTTGCCGATAAACACGAGTGCAGTCTAGTTGTAAAGAAACCAGGCTGTTGCGAGGAAATGTAAAAAGTAAAAAATCAAACGCCCTCCCTTAAGACACAAAACAAGCATCAGTGTGGAAGAGACAGTCCATCCACTCGGCTGGCTCCTCCGCCATAATGGGAAAACCTCACCGACGGCAGCGGTCGGTCACGTGACTGCGTTTACCTCCCCTGTATGATAATTCACTGCATCCCGGACGAACATCACACCATAAACTGGAGCTCCCTCTGGCGTTCGACGGGCAAAAACACACACGCACATCTTTTACTCATTACCGGAGGGTGCTTATGGCATGGGATATATAGTGGTGTGTCATGTCAAAACAGACACACCAAATAAATAAAAAGAGATTCAGGTCAACCAAAAAAACAACACAAAATGCAAAAGTTCCAGAAAGCGGCACAAAGATACACAAGTCACACTTGATTTCAAATTTCAAGAAAGAACACTTGTGCTGAAAACTGCTCAAGTACTGGACACTACTCTGTTGCTTATGGGTCACATTCAAAAAAACTGATGTGGCATCCTAACTGTAACCATTATACAAATAAAAATCAAAAACGCCCTTCCAGCCATAACCCTCTGCAGTTACAGGCTGCTTACAAAAAGTTATGATTATGTTTTCCTTTTAAGAAACATGGACAGCTTCAAAGCAAACATGAACACAACAGGCTAATTGTGAGCTACTGTCACGTTTTGTCTTTCCAGAAGTACAAATATTGCAGTACAAAAGAACAACTGAAAAGCAGGGCTGTAGCAAGTATTTTAAAAATACTACTGAGGCCATGAGCCTAAGGCCTTCAATACACACCTAACCTCTTCAGAACATGTGGACCTAACAATAAACATTTTTTTCATATTGTATCCATATTGTATCCACAGGCTACAGCCTGTGTGAAGCATAAACGTCAAAGTACAAATTCAAATTCTTCCTTGACAGTACCAGGAATAAAATTATAGATACTGAATCATTAATCTCTCTCTTTTTTGGTCCAAAAGTAGTCCAATTAAGAATATATATTACACATTAAAAACTGGAGTCATTCTATAAAATACACATTTAAATTGTAGAATATAACCTCAGGTTGCTGCATGCCCTTGTGTCCCTACTTAAAATGTTTAACATTTTTACAATTTACTTTAAATGTACATGAAACAAAAATTCATGCAAAGGAACCAGGGTATTTACAAACCAATGTCTTGATCCACTCTGCAGAGGAATTAGTAACTGCAGGTCATGACTGAACAGAGGGGGAGCACTACAGACAACCATGAACAAAGAAGGAAATACAAGGTCCTTACATACTTTATTTTCTCAAATGCACTACCTTTCATACCACATTTACCAAGCCCTAGCTGCAAGTTGCTACTCGTTATGTAAGATGACAACACATTTGTCATTGTGAATCTAAGCTGAAAACAAGTAAATAAAACCATATGAAGTTCATTAAGATGTAGTTTCTTTAATTAAAACTGCAGCACTGTAAGTGTTCATCGTATTCCACCAGGGCATGCATGGAAAAGTAAATATATTCATATAGTACAGATATGTACAGTACAAGTATGATTTTGAAATCATCAGTCCAACAATGGGAGTGTGAAAAACCATTAATACACTACGTGCAACTTTCACATTGTTGCAGTTTTCATTAACTTGCTCTTTTCATAACAATTCTAGGTAACATTTATACACCAAAGACCATGATGAAAGTTGTCATTTGACCAATTTAAAAATAAGTTAGACAAGGACATCAAAGGACATTACCAAATTCATCTTTAAAGACGTAACAAAGGAGATAAAATTTCTTTTTGAAAAAGGACTACTGACATTTTTTGTAAAGCTAAAGAGATTAGTTTCTATATTCTTCAGTAAAATCAGAAGCATTATGACTGTGCTGAAAATAGCACATAACATAAGAAACATAGGAAACCAAGAAATGACAGAAAAGGTGCCAATGACATGAAGTACATGAAGACAAAATACCATCAGAATTTTCAATTCATACGAATAATCAGCTATAAGGGACTGCCAGCGAAATATAATGCCAGCTCCAACATACAACACAACGCTGGGGTCGCCACTTTGACTGTAGAACACGAGGTTCAGTCAAAGGTGGAAGGTGTTACAGTTGCTGAGCTAATTCCCATTCTGTTATACAGTACAGATAAGAGGAAAACATTATTTAAAAAAGGATCTGATATCTCTGAAAAAGACTGAAAGAATAGAAATACAAAGCAACAATAAAAACTTGAATTTTTTAGTGCATAAAAACACGCCCTTTTGTTAATGGACAGATATCTTGTTTATGAAATACCACATCTTGTAAATATATGCTCATATCAGACAAAAGAAGGACAAAAATATACAGGAAAAAAATAAAGGCAAAGCAAGCTGTTGGTTTAGGTGTTTATGTAAAAATGTCAAGATATCTTGTTGAAATTTCTACAGGTCTTGAACCCTTCAGAAAAAAGTCACAAGACAACAGAACTGTTTAGTCCTTCAAATCATCCGTCTCTCCACCAGATGACAGACAAGTGTTGTATCATTTTATGCAAGAGACTAATTTTTCTTCAACAACATTAGTTGCCTTTAATTTGATGAAATAAACAAATTAGGACACTTGGCTTGTGTTTTAGGTGGGGAAATCTGAGGCATCGGTGTGATCTTAAGGCAAAACTATCAGACTAAGTGTGTGTTTAAGTGCAAGTAACAAGCAGTAATATATTGCAGATTGTTTCAATGTGACCTCTGAATCACAAAATAACAGTCCTGCTCCAGACCAGGTACCACATGGTCTTTGGAAATTCAGAGATCTGATTTGTTGTCACTATGGCTTAATTTATGTTTGGTAAGGAGCAGAGAGGCTAAGATGGTCATCGCACTCTTCCAACGAGCAGCAAGGATGTGCAACCATCCAGAGAAGTGTGAAAATAACAGTTACACTAAGTCCAGGACCCACACAGAGCATCTCAGTCACAAGTAAAAACTCCAATAAAGTGGGGAAAGGCATCTACTCACAAACAAATAAACAGTTAAACCGCCTGTTTTAGAACTATGACAAGGAGAGGAGATCAGAAAAAAACAGCTCTAACAAAACTCTACACTGTCCTAGACAATTTTGGTTTTGTGGACTAATCTGGGAGGATGTGCCAACTAATTAGAAAATATAGCTGCACATACGGTATCAACAATGTAACACCCTAATAGAAAAAGTCCCATGCTAACAATCTAATTATTAATATATCAGATCAGGAATAGGCAAAATGCTATGTTCTGATGTACATTAATATATACACACAGAGCCAATCACACAGTTTATAGATTTTATCAAAGAGGGGTGTAATGAGGTAAGGCCCATGTTCAGATCACATTCAAGTGAAACCTTTCAAAAAAGGTTTGGGTGTATATTTGAGAGCTGAGTAAGTGAAGTCTAGACAACTATTTCATCTTTGGAGCCAAGGATGTGTACGGATGTATAGTGAGGTGGCATGTGTGGGCGTATGTGCATGGCTAAAATATCAAGGAGCACAAGGCACTATTCCCTCCTGAAAACTGTGCAAAGCCCTGTGTGTGTTGCTTGGTATCTAATTTGATCAAGAATGTTTATGGAACACCTGTGTGTCTTAAACTGTGCAAGCATGTTATGTGTCCACATGGGAAGTGTATGACGACAGTACACTCAAGAGTGATGCAGTCCAGTGAAGACTCATTTTGACTGAGGGAGAGGAGAGATGAGCGGGGAGGCACAGAGGAAAATGGGATAAGGGGTATGAATGGGGGTGTGATGGAAAGTGGGGGGTTGGAGTCCAGCCCCTGTAGTCTCTGGCAACGTGAACAGGAAGCTCTCTCAAATGTCTCAGTCCATTCCCAGAAGGCTGCTACTGAGCTCCAGGCCACAGCTATGATGGCTCCACGGGGGGGAGGGGGGTCAGAGAGAGCAGAGCAGGAAAGGGGAAGGGGAAGATAAGACATTTGGACGTCTAGAATGGGGAAGTTTGGGGGGGTAAAGGGTGTTGGGGTAGTCGCTGCTCTTTAATGCCCCCAGGTGTCGAGCCAAGTCTGGGCCGTGGTGGCATCGCTCATCATCTGGCAGCAGAATGAGACTGTGCAGCCATGATAATGTGAGAGGGTCCACTCTCAGCCCTCTGCTGCTGGCCCATTCCTGCCAGCACAGACATAGCCATGGCCTCAGCTGCTGCCCTTGAGCTCAGGCCGTTGTGCCCTGCGGAGGGGCTGGGCGCCAAAGAGCTGTGCTGGATCACTGGGGCAGGAGAACCTGTAGGTTCTGAGGTGTCTTTCATGCTCTCCTCTGCAGCTAACAGAAAAAGACAACACAAGTACAGATTTATAATTTAACCTGGCAAACACATTCAGGTTTTAACCTTGGATACACCCCTCACTGCCATATTGAAATGTTTGGACATTATAGCAGTTAAAATGTAGCTGAATTTAGTAATATCCCGGTCCAAAAGTCTAAGAAATTTATTTTTCCCTAAACTTTTCCTGGTTCAAATGCTGGGATTTAAACCAAACAAACTGAGCTGGTAGACTGTACATTACTGTTGGCAGTACTGTGGCTCAGTTACTGGAATTTTGTGAAAGTCAGCAACAGGTGACTTTTGGCATATATGTTACATCTCCACTTCCTGTGCATCAAGCTAAATGACCAAAATCATCCTGGCACCTAAAAAATCTGAACAATCAATGGTTGCCAAATTAAACTGAGTCATTATTTAAAGTTTTCTGCAACTTTAAAAGCTTTGCACATCACCTTGATTCCTACATATAGATATGGACAAATCAGGATCCTAATCAAGTAAGTGTAAATACCACCAGTCCAATAAGATGGCATAATTGTACAGGGCTCACCTAAGTAAGCAGTCTTCTTCTGCAGGGTGGTAACAGGACAGTCCTTGTGGGCCAGCAGCAGCTGCTTCAAATGAGCCACCTCGTTCCGCAACAGAGACACTTCATTCTGACAGGATAAAAAAAATCTGATAACCCTTAATGTAATGTTACTGTTGTTTTCTACCTAAGAATTACCCTCTGGCTTCCACTACAGCTGCCAGTTGAGAAGGTGGCACCAATGACCAAAACCACCAAACAACACAATGATGGCTTCCAAAGTTATGTCTTGTAAAATTACCAAAATACTTACTGAAACTGACTTTATCTGAAATACACATCGCAAACTCCTAGAAGTAGTTGTCGACACAGTCAGAGTGACTATGCACACATGTACAAAGGCCATGTTTCATCCCCGTCCACCCACTCCAGTCCCACTCACCGACAGCGAGACATTCAGGGTGCTGAGCTCCTCAGCCTTCTTCTCTAGAGAACAAACCCACAGTTTGCGTTTCTGTCTGCAGCGCGACGCCGCGGCCCGATTCCTCTCGAGGAAGCGCTGCCTTCGCTCATCGGGGTCATCGTCTGCTGTCCGCCGCCGCCGCCCACCTGTAGGCTGTGCAGGAGAAACCTAGAGGGGGGAGGGTTGAAAGGAAACAGACAGGGGAGAATAGCAGAAGGATGACGAGAACAAAAAGGGAAGTTTGAGTCATAGTTTCTTTATTTTAGTCAGAGTATATCATAGTCATCTCACTGCCACAAGTACAACGCCAATTGTCAGTAACTAAAGATGGTGATGTGAAATATTTTTTAAAAGGTTCTAGCTTAGTCATGTTTAGGCATTTCTTAAACTTATCAAGTTTAAATGGTATTAGTATTGGATGAGAAAATCAGTTAAGTTCTTGGCTATAGACAAAGCAGTGTACCTGAGGTTGTGCAGGTGAAGGAGCATCAGACTGCTGGACAAGCAGCTGGTTCTGCTCTGCCTTCTGAGGCACCATGGGGCTGCTGCCCATGGCCATGACCCCCATACTCTGTCCTGACGGGCTCTGCTGGGATAGTGCAGCCTTCAGACGCTACAGGAGGACAATGATATGACCAACATTAGCACGAAGAGAACTAGAATAAACACCTCAAACCAACACTATAAACATTAAGTGTGAGGTAAGTATAAATGAGAAGGCAGGTCAGATTCAATAGCAATGCCATCTAATCTTTTCATGTATTTTTGTTATCCTGTAAACATCACTAAAACATCCCAGCTACCCATCTAAACTGTCAATATCATGTTAACCAATAAACATATTTACAGTTTCAGCCAAGATAACTCAGTTTAAACTTTAGTTACAAATGTTTAATGCTGCCTGAAGCGAGCTGGTGGTCAAACTGCACAGATGCAGACAGACTGCTCTGAAGGCAGATTTTCCACCTGTTTGTGTGTTTTTTGTGAGACCTCTGAAGTTTCCATGATAAAATGCAATCGGTGCCATATTTTGTCTCAGGAAAATCTTTAATCCTCTGAGGAACCAATTAAAAAAGGTGTGTTCCAGCTCTGCAAAGACCCTCTCCCAAGCTGACCTCAGTGCACCACACAGTTACACTTTGTTTTCAGTAGCACATTCATGTGACAAGCTTTTCTAACCCAATCCTTATTTACTCTGAAAGCTCTGCATGTTCCTAGAAATATTTTCAGGTGATGTCACATTATTTAAAATAAGAAAAAATATTTGAAATTAACTAACTATGACCTTGAAGGCATTCATTTGGTCAAACAGCAGATTTATTTAGTAGCACCGCTGATCTGCTTGTGACTGAAGGAGCAAGCAGTTTGTTCAAATCTACTGCTAAAGTGAATACTGTGTGTAACACTATAAACAATATCTGCACTCACTCAGTTTCATCTGAAATACAGTTGCGTAGAGCTCTGTGTGTACTTTACAGTATCATAAATTCAGTAATGTTGTTGTGTGGTAAGGGTTAAATTAACAAGCAGCAGCAGTAAAAGAAAATAACCATATGATGAGCACACTAGGCCTGTGCAGAGGATCGAGGGTGAAGATGGAGACAAAATGAACACAGATAAAAATAGAGAGCTAATCGAGCGCTGACCATCTTGGCCTCTGAGTGGATGCTGTAGCCAGAGGGGGAGTTAGAGCCGCTACCGCTGCCTCCCAGAGGAGGACCAGGGATCCCAGGAATGTTGGGTACCATGCACATGGGTCGAGCCAGCTAGAGAACAGACAACACACCCAAATATACATGCATTAACAACTTGAACCAACTTCTTGGCTATAAAATAGAAACAGAACACATGGACACTGTTGGTCTTTCCTTACATTAATGACAGAGGGCATCTGCACAGGACCAGGGAGCACAGGCAGTGCCTGACCCGAGGGAAGCATCATCATGGGGTAGTGGCTGGTTGGAGACCTAGACAGGCAGACAGCAGAGGGTAACAGGGGCAGGAACTTCAGTCATGTTTGAATCAAATGCGGACTGAAACACAAGGTTTTGAGATATTCAGGATATGTCAGTTTAAAGATGAGGTTATGTTTAAAATATGCACAAAACAATTAACATATTTCAATTTATGCAACCATAAAAAACATGAGAGCATCGTGGGTTTGACAGGTTCACTTGTACACGTCTTATATACCAATCAGCCATAACATTACGACCACTGACAGGTGAAATGAATAACACAGATCATCTCATTACAGTGGCACCTGTCAGAGTGCGGGGTACATTAGGCAGGAAGTGAACATTCAGTCCTCCAAGCTGGTGTGTTGGTGGCAGGAAAAACGGGCAAGCATAAGGATCGGAGCGACTCTGACAAGGGCCAAACTGTGATGGTGAGATGACTGGGTCAGAGCATCTCCCAGACTGCAGATCTTCTCGGGTGCTCCCAGTCTGCAGTGGTTAGTACACAAGAGAGTGAGCAGGCAACAGGCTCACTTATAATGAGATTGATCCCCACAGCCTCCCCACACCTAGAGTGCTAGAGTGAGGAGGCTGTTGAATGTGTCTAAAAAATTATCTCCAACTTAACCTCATGTCCACTGTTTTCACTCCTTTTTACACATTTTTATCACTAAATGACATACTCTTTCAGGCAGTATAACTATGATAGCAAACAGATTCACATACAGTGCACTGTGATTCTCAGAGTGACACAAGTGTCACCCAACTGCCCCATTGACTCCTGTGTACACAGGATTAGGCAGGTGGTGATAATGTTATGACTGATTGGTGTAGGTTCAACATAATGTTGAAACCAGGTGATTGGGACTGTTATGTGTGGAATTTTATTTTTAAAGAGCAGCCATGTAAGGGAAATTTGAAGAGGCAAATCAGAGTTAAAGAGTTCAGCAGAGGTTAGCAGAAGTATAGTGAGCTTAACTCACCCCAGAGTGCGATTAGAAGGCGGTGCCTGTGTGATGACAGAGGTGGGTGATGGCATGGTGGGTTGGAGGGCATCAAAGCCCAAGTGCAGCGGGAGGGAACCAGGACGCACAATAGTCGGGGTGGGGGCTGAACTCCTGGGTGGTGTGTCCTAAGAGATGAGTGACATGGGAAGTTATGTTGAACAACTGAAACAGTTATTCTAAATATGTGGTGAATGTGTGATTTTTAACATTTCATTCATTGTATCTCAAAGGCAAATGATAATGATTCACTTTCTCAGGATTTATGCATTTATATAATACTACAAAAGTCATAATGACATGTATCATTAACCATACTCATCCTGAATCATTTTAGCTTCCACACTCTCCACTACAAACTCATGCAAACCCCCTCCTCCCATTTCTGTTCTACCTTTCCTTTAACCAGAGGCCCTCTGTTGCTGTCTGACTTGACAGATTCAGGGCTGCCTGGTGGCGAGGAGTCGACTTCTACCAGCGCCTCCTCTTTCACCTTGACATCTGATGGTGTCTGCTGGCTCATGTCCAAAGCCACAGAGTTGGGAGCAGGGAGCTGAGAAGGACAGAAACAGTGAAAGACGGATAAAGACATTAAGTTCACAGTACTTCTCAAAGATAATATTCTCATAGACTATAGTACATTAAACAAGGAAGTGAGTATTTATCGCTATAAGCAAACAACCATACCAGAGACACTGTTTCTGCAGTGCAATAAAAATGCTGAAATATTAAATAAAATCATCTTAAGAAGCTGTTGAAATACATAGTTAAACTTCAAATGACACAGAGTGCACAAGGCAGGAATTTCTGCAAACAATTTTTGACTACATCAACACTTGCATTAAGAAAGAAGGAAGTACACAGTCATTTTTCACTTCATGTGAGTGTTTGCAGAAAATTTTCTTTGGTTTCTCTACACAGTAATGCAGTCATACACACACACACACACACACACACACAAATGAAAGCACAGACAAATTCATTAACCACAAGGCTTTCTTACAGAGTTCTTGGCCCTCTTTTCATCATCATCTTGCTCGAAGGAGCTGGCTAGCTCATTGAACAGACCCACCTCCTCGCAGTTCTTTAGGAAGCGGGTGGGAGTAGGTGTCTGGTCTGGCAAAAAGTAATGAACAGAAATAACTATTCAAAGTAATGTTTTCACACTCAGCTCACACTTAACACTGAATATGGAAATTCATGTCAGAAATGTATCTTTGGAGCTGCTTTTAATGAAACTGTACTAATAGTGCTGGAACACACTGATGCTGAGGTATGCTAAACAGTCTTCATTTGAATGCTGGGACATAAACAGGAGGAGTAAAACAGTACCTGCAATAATGACGGAGTCAGTCCTGGGTGGTCCAAATTTCAGTGTCATCTCATGCTTGTGTTTGTGCACAGCCAAGTGGTCCTCATTGGTAAACCTCTGGAACAAATGAACGAGAAGAAAACAAGAAAGATTAGTACATTATGAATTAGCCTATGGGTAACTGTCTATTTGTCCTGGTGAACTGAAGAAACAGTCTGGAGTACCTTAACCCAGTTATTATATTGCATCAATCAAAGAGATACAGCCATGGCCAAAAATATTGGCGCCCTTTGAACAAAATAACTGAAATCAACTGCTTCCTGTAGAATGATTCAGTAGAATGATGTGCTCAACCAAAAAGCTCTAGTTGAGTTTCATCTGTCCATAGGACATTCCCCCAGAAGGACTGTGGCTTCCTCCGGTAAGTTTTGGCAAACTCCAATATAGGTTTTTTATGTTTCTGTGTCAGCAGTGGCGTCCCCCTGGGTTTCCTACCATAGTGTCCCTTGTCATTTAGATGGCGACAGATAGTGTGAGGCTCTTTATCCACCATTCAAACAATCTTTCATTGCAATGTGACATATATTTCCTTCTTTCATCCACGTCCAAGAGAGATTAGTTACAGCGCCATGGGCTGTAAACGTCTTGACAATGTTGTGCACAGTGGACACAGGAACAACCAGATCTCTGCAGATGGACTTGGAGCCTTGAGATTGTCCATGCTTTTCCTATTGTGGTTCTTAAATCCTCAGACAATTCTTTGCTCTTCTTTCTTTGCTCCGTGCTCAGTGTGGTCCACACAACACAAAGGTTGAGTCAACCTTTCTCCATTTTAACTGGTTGCCAGTGTGATCTCTATATTGCCAGCACTTGTTGACTGCTACTGGGGAGTTTCATTACAAATTAAAGGAGCATCACATGCTTGAAATACAACTTTTTCTGATGATTTTGAAAAGGTGACAATAATTCTGTCCAGTCCATTTTTTGGAGTTCTGTGTGAAATTTATCAGATTTGGCTTTTTTCTCTGATTTTGTTGTGTTGTTCCAATGAGGAGCTCAGAGTAGAACCGCTGCTCCTCCACATCGAGAGGAGCCAGCTGAGGTGGCTCGGGCATCTCTTTCGGATGCCTCCTGGGCGCCTTCCTAGGAAGGTGTTCCAGGCATGTCCCACCGGGAGGAGGCCCCGGGGAAGACCCAGGACACGCTGGAGGGACTATGTCTCTCGGCTGGCCTGGGAACGCCTCGGCATTCCCCCGGAGGAAGTGTCTGGAGAGAGGGAGGTCTGGGCATCTTTGCTTAGACTGCTGCCCCCGCGACCCGGCCCCGGATAAGCGGAAGAAAATGGATGGATGGATGGATGGATGTTCCAATGCAAACAAAAGAAATAAACATGAGAATACCAAAGACTTTGTGACTGCAACAATTTTCTGGGAGAAGTGGTGCGTTATCTGACAGAAATGCAGGGGTGCCAATATTTTTGGCCATGACTATAACCTCTAGGACATATGGGCCAACTAAATATATTATGAGACAAACCATAAAGAAATCTATGTCTGTGGTGTGCAATTCCTCATGTCTTAAAAGCCCTTTATAAGCCCATTACAGCCGCAGGATATAAGATCAAATATCCGTACACAACCACAATTATCTAAAAAAACAAAAAGGGCTAGTATAGATGATTTGAACAGCACAGAAATGTAGGGGATGAGTAATGGTTTAAATAATATTAAAATAAATTTATATCAACATCAAAACAGATGCTGCAACTGCAAGTGTGTGCTGTTGTTTAGAAGAGATCTCCTTGTTGTCAAGCTTGTTCTGGATGCTGTAAACTGTTTGTTTCTTCCTAACAGGGATACATGGAGGTTCTGCTAAATCAGACCTTTAGAAGAGAGCACTAACAGCCCTACTCTGAGCCATGTCGCCTTTGGGGAAGTGTGATGTGAATCAGTCCAAGATGTAGGAGGAATAATCCTGGCTCTGGCACCAGCCTATTCACGATACACTGCAGCCTATTTTAGGGCACCATGTTGCAGTTGCAAGTTCAGTTGTGAGAAAGTGAGGTGGAAACACAGTCAAGTGTCTGGGGACTTATTTTTAGCCTTACCAGGCAGCTTCACCAATACATGTCTCATTTGCTTCTTTTCTTTGAACAAGGTGACTGGGTCTTCTGAAGGAAACTATCTCCAACTAATCCTCCTATATGAGATACTGGTAGCTAGGATTACCCCTCTCCACACAGTAAACACCAGGCATTACATAATGCACGGCTGTTGCTGTTGTTGTTAACTTGGTAAAAGAAAAACCCAGAGCAAAGCCAGGAGTCAATCATCCTTGTTCTATTATGGGCATGATTCAGAATTTCCTGGTACACAACTGTTGCTTGTAAAGAGCAGCAGTAAAACCACATTTAGACATAAGGAACTAGTGTCACAAAGGATGTTCCATGTCTAAATGTACACAAATAACACAGACTTTTTGTTACTAACAAAACAAAGCATAGAGTGAAGTACTGAAAGTCTGTAGTCAAAAGCCTGGTCAGTCTTTGTTTATTCTTTGATCACACAGTTTGCCAAAAAAAGCAAAAAAAGTGTAGACAGTATTTTTCTAGGTACATTTCTTGTTCATCTCTGCACCAGTAGATCAAAATGACTGTCTGTAGTGACAAACGGACAGAAAACTATCACCCAACTCTACAGTTCCCTTCAACTCTGCATTGAGTTTTCATGACTTTCACTGGTTTAGTTTTCTGTTACTCTTTTCTGTTTTCTGTCACTGCAGCAGGCAGCTTTTTTCAGCAAACAAACCTAATAATGCTAGTTCATGAACAAAGTGGAATGTGTAGCTCCGTCAGAGCCAGATGTTTACCTCAGGAGCTGGCAGAGACCAAAACAAAACTAAAAGAGAGTGATTATCCAAATGAATGACAGTGTTTAGCTTTAACATTTGGAATTCTAAAGTAAATTTACAAAAAACAGGTTGGTACATAAATGTGTTTATATTCCTCAAAGTAAGCTGGTAACACTGCCATGCCATACTATGATCTCAGACCTATTTATTCAACAGTTTCACGCTCAAACAAAGATGGCGAGAGTACTGTACCACAGCTGCAGACCTGCACCGTCATCCACCGACACTTTGCCTTGAAAGGGTCCCGTGGGATTCTCTCGCTTTAACTGTCAACTAAATTAATGATGATCTCTAAAAATGAAATATTAAGAGTATTTACATCACAGAAACATGTCAGAAGAAATTTAAACTAAGAAAGGTTCCCTAGGTGTCCATAATGTTCTGAGGAGAAAATAACCAAACAAATCATCATTTATTTATCCAATGTGTACATATAACTACTTCACACAGCTGTTGTTCACAAACCTTAAGTACAACAGATGGCTTCTGATCAGAATATAGAGTTTGGTTTGTGAATCACAAACCACATAAACACTTTCTTCCTCTAGATCGCGGTAAGAGGATCCATTGCTTGTTCCAAGGATATCACAGCCAACTGACCACAGCAACACACAGCTAACTGAGCACAACATCAGCCATGATCGTTCATGCGCTGAATAATCATTAATCCTAGAACACACTTCTTCCAAACCGCTGTGATATGAAGCCATGCCCCAACAACACAGCACGTTGCTGGCATGTGAGAGCACTATTGGCACCCAGCTGAGTCAGTGCTGTGGCTCAAACCTATGTCTGCAGGTGTGAGAAGTCAACAGTGGCAGGTTGAAACAATAACTGTGTTCTGATTACTCACTGGAGCTTCCAGTGATTCAGTGATAAATGAGACAGTACTGGCTCATGAGACATCATGCTATATAATCCATGAAGCTTTATTCTATTCAAATGAAGTGCAATGTAAAATACATATTTTTCTTTAGATTTCTATTCATTTTCTTTTGGAAGGAAACTACATTCAATCATAAAGAGTTACAGTCAACTTTTGTAGAGCATTTTTATGGTAATAAAAAAAAATACCACACGCACCTGAAACACAGGACGGAGTGAGAAGACTTACCTGTCCACAGCCAGGAGCAGTGCACACAAAAGGTCGGTCATCCCCCATTTTTGCAAAGAGCCTGCAGTGTAACTGTGGGAGAGGAGAAGAGGAGAACATTGCTGCAATTTCTCGTGATTTGTGAAACGGTAAATCCTGACGACAACACGACAGGGATGCTGTGGCTTGTAGTCTTCTGAGCAGGAAGCCGAATGTTTTTTTTTAAAATAACCCTGGCAAGGAGGAAAACACGCACAGAGGCAGCAAGACAAAGTTTCCCTGGTGATACTTCCTTCACACAGGGGAGCTTCTGGTTGGCCAATGAGAAGCTGCTTACAAGCTACCGTTTACGCAAAGACATCTCTCTTCTTCTCCCTCTCATTTTCCCTCGCTTCCAGTTCCTCCTTCTCTAATTACCACTCCCTCTCCTCACCTCTCCAGCTCCTCCCAACCTTTTGCCTTTGTGTACCCCTCATTCAGCCTCTTCCTTTTTTGCTTCAGCTGTTTCTCTGCACACACTCTCTTTTTTGGTCATCTCCGTCCACGTTATGACAACTCTTGTGTATCCACAGCATAAATATCTTGAAATATACACATTCACTCTGACCTGGCATTGTACCTCACTTTTACTTGTTGTCCTAGTTAACTCCATCTTATAAACACTGCTGACAAAGCCGATAAAATCTACTGTTTTGTTACTCAGCACTGGAAACACATACCAAATCCTACATCCCTCTTCTCCTGTGTACATGCCGTTTTCAAGAATTAAATACACACATGCTTCTGTTTGGTTTCTGCTCCTATTGTGCCTGTCACTGAAGTAACATAAACTAAATCTGTGTGAGGCTTACTGCTTCTATCAGCTGTCTCCACAGAGGAGAAATGACTCCTCGCAACCCCCCTCCCACATCAACCCCATCCCCAACTCCACCAAACTACTCCACCCTACACTGTCCTGCAAAGCCGAACGGCACTCCATGTAAAGACAAACTGAAAAGTTCAGAAAAATTACTTGGTCATTAAATTTAAACCAGGGAATTGGAGGGGTGGTGATGGCAATGGACAAGGGACATTAATGTCTTAGCACTCTCAGCTGGTCTGAAGTGACATCTGGCAGCTATTATACAGCGCTGTCCCACTAACAGTACAGCAACATGCATCACAGACCTTGCAATTTATACAAGGAGAAACCTTTCAATAAAGAAAAAACACTGACAAGTAAATTGCCTTACTAAGGTTCTGCTGATATCCAGTCATGAGCAGGGACGGTGTCCAACCTTAACTGTTTAGTGTTAGCCCTTCAAAATAAATCCACCTCGTGAACTTTTACATTATGATAATTTAACATGCTTCTATACTGTTCTGACTTGTTTGTAAAACTTGTTTAATGTATTCATTAAAACATTGCACTCTTATTACCAAATTAAAATGTACAATCATTCCAACTGTAAAGCAATGCTAGTTAAATGTGTTTAGTACAGTAATATTACAAAGTTACTGATCACATTTACCTATGTGTTACCTACATGGGCTGAGCATGTATCTTAACATTATTGAGCGGGACAGATTATTCATTATGTTGGCAAGGTATAAATGTCTGAAAGTTTTCCCACTGCTGAGGTCAGTGTATTTCCCTCCTTCCTCCCATCTCTCCCTCTGCTGAGTACAGCTGCCCCTGAGCCAACACGATTACTGAAGCCTTGCACTGGAATACACCACTCTCTCATGACACCAGGCCTGTAACAGGACAAATCACTGTGTTTCTCAGTGCCACCATCTTTATGGTGCCAGGCCTGTAACAGGACAAATCACTGGGTTTCTCAGTGCCACCATCTTTATGGTGAAAGGGGTCTGAATCATGTTTGCAAGTGAAAGTCCTGTCCTTCTCTCAAAGGGGCCGATGAGGCACAGCAGTCTGATTTCTTGCAGACCTCCCATGCTCTGGAGAAAGGCTACAGGTCCGTGACAGGGCCCTGTCAAAGTACTTCCAATCCACTGATTCTATTTGGGCAAAGATGAGACTGCAAACGAGACACTCCATCTAGCTCGTTAGAGTGAGGTTGTGGACTGTGTGTGGAAATGGACACATCTGGTGGGAGGAGTGGGAACACATTTCAGAGTTTACATCTTACTGAAGACATGCTAGACATTAACTTGGCTGACTGGCAACAACATGAAATGCGAGATTTGATTTTGTGGGACATCCACCATAAATTCCAGATGACAGGGGTGGAAAATGCCATTTGTTTTCATAGAAGCTCTAACCAATATCTTAGCCTGATCGAAACAGATGCGTTAAGGTCTTTTCTTGGGCATCTATGGCATGGCTTTGTGGTAAGACAATCTACCTATAATCCACTGCAAGATTCCTATGTCTACAAAATATGATGCTGTTGATTTACATTCCAATGAGGATAAACTAAGAGTTGCCTAAATAATGGGTTGACAATGTAAAGTTTTACTGCACACTGTAAAATGCTCTGCTTCATGCAGACCTGAAATCTGTGAGAAGGCATAAATCAGCCTGCTAGTCACATTAGTACTGATCACTGATATTCATTACAGACAAGGATATCAAGTCCACCTGTTTTCGCCTCCTTTCATCCAAGGTGACATGGAAGCACTCAAAGTGCTTTAATTCCTGTCCTTCTCATTAAGCCACTGCCAGAGTCCCACCGTGAACTTGGATTTCTCCGACTCAGCAGGTGTAGGGGACCGAGTCCCAGCTATAATCAGACACAGCCGTGCAGTGTTTGATGCAGCCTGCTAGGAAACTGACTAAACAAACTGTATTAATAGCTCAAGCTGCAGCCACATCTCTGGAATCTGGGGCTTGAACTGCCAAAGGGTAGGGGAGACCCCACAAACAGGAAAAAATAATAGGAGGGGGAGAGAGAGTGAAATAGTGAAAGCGAGAAAGATCAGCAATTGGTCAAGTGAACAATCATGGGTATTTGCTGGAACACAGGTGAGGTCTTGCAAATGTGGGTATGAACATTAGAGACTGGGTATCTGGGTGTGTGCAACAGCCAATATGCATTTATATAAGCAAAGTGAACATGAGATTTGGTAAATGGAACAAATGAAATCCTATATCCATGTCTGCATAACTAACAAGGCCTAAAAGCTAAATCCATGCCGAGCCAGCAGACAATGCACAACAATACAGGATGGACCCAGGGCTGTTTTCTAAAATTAAATCAGAAACACTGTGTCAATTTGATTCATGGTTGGCAACGTTTACAATAACTTGCCACACATGAGGTTTTGGTTTTATGACTACAAATCTGAAAGAAAAACATCAAAAGCCAGCCAGCCACTACAACCTTTGGTGTGGACAACAACTTTGCTACATCATTTACACTTAATGCTTATAGCATTATCAGCTAGTAATGACTTAATAAACCAATAATAAAATAGACAGAAGCACTGACAGCTGAGTCACAGGGACAAATATATATCCAAGATTTATGCTGCATACAGTTTCAAATATACGAGAGTGGGTCAAGACATTTGGCTGGACAAAACAGACTGCAGTCTTCTCTAGTGTAACATATGTGATGGAATGAGGTACAACTCTGCCAAAAACACGGCCTACATTCCTAATGAAGGCGCTGACACGGGGACGCGGATCCTGGGGCGTTCATCTCAAATTGCAATACTATGGATATCATTACTACTTTGGACTTCTTCTTGCAGACCAAGATAATCATTACGGTATATTCTACCGCCAAAAACAGGCAGGCAAATAATTTTTGTGCCGTATCAGGCACGTAAAAGAGGTCAATACCAAAAGTTTAATTTCCAAAGTCCTTCTCCCAGACAACGTTGACTGGGTTGAAAAAGTTTGTCTTTTTTAGCCTCCATTACCTTCTGGCTACGTACGGGTACATTTAGCTCTGCCTTTTCCCGTAACAAGACCGCCTAGTCTTTTCAACAATTGGCTAGAAGCACGCCAGTCAACAGCATCTAATGCATGCAAAGCTTTCGACCCTGTCAATAACATCGACTAGCCTAATCTTATTGGCTAAACTCCCGAAGTCAACTTTTTGTATCATGAAAAACTAATGGCTAACTGGTGTGGCTAGCGTTAAATAACAGGCCGAACGCATATTCTAAGTCAGTAATAACAGCGCTACTACCACTTTTAGTTGTGTCAACAAACACACATAAACACTAATTTAATTATATCCGAAGTGAACAGATGTATTTTAAAGACATTATGGAGAGTCAAATCCACAAAAGCAGGAAAAAGCTAGCAGTTACTAGCGAACTGACACTTGAGTGCAAAACGAGACTGTGGGTCCCAATGAAACGTTGTAAGTTAACAGCAACAGTTTTGATAATTACATAGACGTGTATATTTAACAACAGCAAACAATGAAAACTGTCAGACCAAGAGCTACTTTGTCATAGTTTAGCATAGTCAACATATCTGTGGTGAAATTAAAGCGTAAAAAGTGTTTACAAACTCACCCTTGCGCCCCTCTCTCTAGCTCCCCTCTCCTCTTCTCTCTTGGAATTTGACACGCCCCTCGACGTCGAGTTATCGCGAGAATTCATATCTAATTGTGCCCAGACATTGGAAGCACAGGCTTCTAATTTTGAGATGTCGTTTTAACAAATTTATTTAACAGTGCCAAGACTGGACCTAGGCTGCAGGTGTACGCAGAAAAATATTGCCTCTGTTAACCCCGACACCCAGTTTTTGGTAAACCTGCCAAACTTCACTATCAAACTTTGTAACCAGTAGTGTAGCACTGTAGCACCAGTGGGTCCACACACTTTTATATCTCCTCATGCCTGTAACCTACTAATAAAAAATAAACTTATGCATCTCAAGTGGTTGTTAGAGTCATCAGTAAAATAGCATTCATAACATTTTTACAATAGTCTGCACATTCTGAAATCTCAGAATATATCAGCTCTCCTTTCTCAGCATAATCATTGTGTGAAGCTTCCACTGTGATGTTTGACAGCATTATATAGTGGTAAATAATTATTGAAATTATCCACATTATTTCTTGTCTTCTCTATTTCCACATCTATAAATGGGGCAGAACATTAAAAACATCACACTGTCATTACATTACATCGCCACCACTAATCATTCCCTTTGAGCTACAGCGAAAACATAATTGAATTCATGACATTTTTAAGTATAACTGAACATTTTAGATGTTATAAAAGTAGTCTATATGGCAGACCGTTTTAGATTGGTTGGGATTAGACCGTAGAAGTGTACCTAATAAACAGTAATAGTTATAATACTTATAATGTCAATATAAAAATGTCAAACTACAACAAACTAATTTTGTCACCATTCACATGAAAATGCTAAATGTTGAAACTAGTGAATTAACATACAAACACCCAGAAAGAGGGGAGTGTTTTACCCTCTTACCTCGGTTTCCTTCCTGATATTCTCACCCTATTCTCTTTTCTTAAAAGTTAACATCCTGACTGTGGAAGTACAAAGCAGCATATTATGTAGTGCCTTGCCAACAGGCTAAAATATTAACAATTATGCATACAAATTGAAAGTGACTAGCAAAATGTCCGTGCAAATTCTCAGTCATCCAGGTCATAGTGTGCTGAAAAAACTTAGAAGAAGGCATCTGGACGTAGTTTTAGTTCTACCTAAAACTATATCCAGATGCCTTCTTCTAAGCTTTTTCATCATAAAATTTGAAAACATAACTACAATGCCTGAACATAGGATCATGTTAAATCAACTTATATGTTTGAAAATGTATGGGGTATTAAAGATCAGCCGGCTGATGTAATATACAGCAAATGTTACTTAACACTACAATTTCCTGCCAGTATACAATTCACACACTGACTGATGCATCTCATTCAAAAGTTATCAAGAATGTGAATTCAGAGACAAGGTTATGAAGACCCCTAGTGGATAATTTGAAAACTTAATGTGCTTTATATATTTTTTTCCTATTTTAAGGTTTAGACAGCGATTTCTTTGAACAGCTAGATGTTTTGTCTATAAGACTCAGTTCACCCCCTTTTCTATATGGTAAATAAATCTTTAGTTTAAAAAAATCCTGCTTAGCCGTTGTACACTGCCTCATTGTATGAACTTGAATAAGCTCGGTGTAGATTTTTGCCCTAGAATATGAAATTGCTTGAACATAGCGCCTACTGCATTTTTTTGATGTGCTCCACTGGGCTTCATTGACCCTCTCATTGTAATGACTGGGATTCAGTTTAAAGTAACAAGGTACCAAGCAATCACAGCTGTATTCAGTCCTAATTACTAACAAGTTTCACACTTTAAAGCTTAAACAAGACTTTTCTCCACTAAATTTTCAGGAAGTTGCACATAGTTTTAATCCAGCAGATAATGAGTGTTACTTTGATTTTAAATTTGGGTACAAAGCAGCATTTGCTCATTAACGTCATAGACAATAATGGGGCATCCAATTAACATTGTGGGTTTTCACCAGCTTCCTTCCACAGTTTGAGTAGTTACATCAAACTAAATTACAAAATAAATGTAATTGTAATCAGTTACTGAGAAAAAATATGTAATTAAATGACTGTTACTAACCAAAATGTTGGTGATTACAAGGGGGTAACATCTAAATATACTCTTTTTGGTAATAACCTTAGAATATTCATTCTGTTGCTTTGCATCTTTTGCCCTGGTGGAATGCCTTCTTTTAGTATATTTCCAGACAAATTGGGGTAGCAAAGCTGCTGGGACAAATAGGGCAACACCATCAAGGAATGGCATACAATGAGCTGTCTCTACATCTAGATAGGCTTCATTAATTTGGCAGTATGTGCTCAAATTTTGAGTGATGCTTCATGATTGGTGCTCTTGTTTGATTTTGCACCGCCTCTCACTACCACAGCTTACTAAGACACTTGCACAGAACAGAGCTACCATTCATGTTACTAATGAAACCTGTACTTCTCCAAGTCAAAAGGATCTGCTGCAAAAAGGGCATATGCAAATAAAACCCCCATCTCAATCCGACAATGAGTATGACACAACCAAGCATTTCAGCAGGGTTTCATATCCTACTACAGTTGAGCTTATAATTTGATAAATGTGTTATAGCTGTGTTTAAACAATGTAATGGGTTTACATTTTTTGTGAGGAACAATGGAGAGAAAAATGAATGCAATATAAAAGCACTGACTTTCATTGTGTTGACAAAGAAAAAGCACTTTTGCAGGTGTACAAGTCATGATCTAAGGGGTGAATCTACATTTGTAGAACAAGCACAGAAATGGTCTGATTTTACTTAAATACATTGTGCCAGCTGATTTGGTGAAAATTTTAAAGAACAAAAACTTATGTCATTCCATGGGGTTCTAACATTTAAATGTTTAATTCAAAATTAAATACCTTTTAAACATGTGCTGCAAAATGCTGGAATGGTGAGCATCTTGAAAACCCAAACTTTTGCTAGTTAAGACCAGACACATCCATTATATGTGAAAAAGAAAAATATTTTCTCAACTGCAGCCATAATTAAAATAAGGCCCAAAGAAATAGCATATCACATATGACAACAGCCATGGTGACAATTTTATAGGCAGGTGTGCCTGGCACATTTTGTGAAACCAATGATAATATTCTACTAGATTTTGTTGCATCTATATAACAAATAAAAGTGTTCCCATCTGGCATATGTTTTCTGTTCTGGTCAAAGTATGTTTATTTTGTTTATTCCCCTTGGTATTGCAAGAATGACTGCACTGTAGGTTCACTGCGCGATAACAGAGAAAGATGGTGGCTCCATCACAGAAACTTCATAGCCTTCGTTCCTGAGCACTACTTCAGTAACTGCATCCTCCAACAGAATAACTGGACAGCCTGCATCAACATCACATATTATTCCTTAATTATACACCTATCTTACACTTACATGTTACAATGAACATACAGTACCTTCATGTTACCATCCAACTCAATATTTAAGTTTCCTCATCCTCAGTGACAAAGGGTAGCACATTCATTTTTTCTTTATGAACATGTTGGGTTAAGATGAGAAAACACATAATGAGAGTTACTGTATGTAAGAATGGTGTCCTCGTTTAGGCTTATCAATCTGTACTTAAATAACTCTTCATTTAGATGTCATATAACCACTAGATAATAAAAAAAACATGAAAGGTTTTGTTCAACTATTTGTGCATAAACCTGTATTCATTTGCAAGAAGGGTTGATAAATGAGTGCCAATGTCAGACAATATCTTCTAATTCAATGGAGACACTTCTTTGCCAATAAGTGCAGTGTAGTGAGCAGTCTAATAATCAGCCAGTGAGGTCAGAGAGCCACCCAGTGGTTTCATGAGCTCAGTCTCTCAGCAGTAGATAGTTTTTGATAGTCTCTGGTAAAGGAAGCTCTTTTACAGCAGTGGGGAGAAACTGCACTCCGAGGCTCTGTCGGACAGCACAGCGTGCCAGAGAGCGCAGGGTGGGAGCCTGAGCCACCATGTTGGTCAACCTCGCCAGCAGCTGAGGATCCTTACTCAGCTCCCTAGGAAGGGTGCCATCAGCCCGTCGGATCTCAAACCGCCCTGCTGCCCGGCACAGCAGCTCCAGGCACTCCTCCTCCTGTTCAGTGCCCAGGCCCCGTGCCAAAAGGGCTACCAGTCGGGAAATAGGGGTTTGGCCCTTCATGTTGGTCACATGGACCTGGGCTCCGTAGTCTAATAGCACTTTGACACTCTCCAGGTTGCCCTTCATTGCTGCCCAGCTCAAGGGAGTGTCATTGTTGTAGTCCTGGGCATTGGGACAGGCCCCGCTCTCCAGCAGGGCTCTCACACACTCTGGGTTATCTTTGAAGGCAGCCCAGTGAAGTGGAGTGTCCTTGTTGCCATCCAGGGCATTTGGCTGGGCCCCATACTCCAATAGCAGCTCCACACAATTCTCATCCTTCTCTGCAGCATAGTGTAGTGCTGTGCGGTTATATCCATCCAATGCATTCACCTGATAAGGAAAATCAATACAATGAGCTGTCTAATGCTAAGGAATTAACAACCATTTTAATCATGTAATGCAAGGAGCAGCACAATGTGGTAGGTCTTGGGCACAGAAACTGTGTGGACATCTCAGAGCAGCAGTTATTTTGGTGGACCAAGTATGTGGAACAACATAAAGTCCACAAGTGATGAGTAAAGTGAAAAACAACTCCATGAATGTGGCAAGTGGGCACCAAAATACCACACAGACTTGCAAAGCCAAAGTCAAGATTTTTTGCATATTGTCATGCAATAACAACAAAACACATTTTATATTAATGCCAGCTCATCAATAGTAGTATTAAGACTGATGCATGTCATTTATCTATCTTTCATGCAGCCACTGGATTCAGTTCATAAAATGATTAGTGATTAGTAAAAAATTCAGCAGCTAACATTAAAGAGCTGGCTGAGAGTTATGTGTCAAATGACAAATTTTTATGCAAAAAAACTATTAAACTTATCTCATAATGTTAATTCCCTCCCAACACAGCTTGCGCATCAATGTTTTAGGCTTACTAGATAATTTCAGATGTCAAATTTTTTTTATGTCAAAGCACCAACAAAACGAGTTTCAAAACCTGCTTTTGCTCACACCTGATAAATAAAACTGAGCATTATGTTTCACAATGAATCACAACCAAGGTGCTACTTTTTGCAGGAAGTACGTTCATGTCATAATGTAAAATGGCTGTGTGTAAGGTAGCAAATTAATCTAAATGCTTGTGATATGCTGTGACAAATGATTCAGAGTGTAGGAGTCATCTATGACATACCTCTGCCCCCTTCTCCAACAGCAGCTCCACACAGTCTGCATCAGCAACCATACAGGCACAGTGCAGGGGCTTAAGTGTGCCATGCATGCGGTTTACGTCAGCCCCCTTATCATACAGGAGTAATGCAGTAAATATTACTGATAACACAGATATTATACATTTAAAAGTCAAAGCAGAAGATAAGCAGGCCTACCTTACGGATGAGATCCTCAACATTGTCATGTGGGAATGAGCGGATGGCTGCGATGGTGCGGATAAGTCTCTCGGACAAGGAGTATTTACTTTGAATGCTTTGCATGATGTACCACATAGTAGAGCTCATGTGTAACAGAGAACCATGGCACCCAGGCACGGGTGGCACTACAGTACACTAAAATACATTTTCAAGAAGTTGAAGTTAGAAACTGTAAGGCATAATGGAGAGCCCTGAGCATTAAAAATTTAACTGATTTAAAAAAAAATCACAAATTTAAAAGTCTTCTCATATGTGTAGAGTTATTTTGGGTAATTAGACAGGAACATGCTGTGTGCATCAATTATTACATTCATTCCCCTAAAACAGGGGGTTACAAAGTAACTTTGCAAATGGCAGTATCTCCTGCAAAGTGTTTTGTTTTTTATTATAACCACAAAAATAAACCTCTTATATTCATGACACCGTCACTGACACATTGACAGTACATAATCAGAATTATCTTACTTCATTTATGAGATTATTGATATAATGTATTTATTTTATATAATATGAAAAGGCCAATAATGAAAGAACCTGTTGATCTTGAGATCAAAATGTCATCATGTACTGACTACAATCATAAATGTTAGCTTTTGTAAGCAGATGAAAACTAATTTACTCTTTTCTCCCGTCTTTTTAGTTCAGTTACTCTGAGCTGAATAAGGTTAGGAGACCACAGCTTCGATCATGCTAGCATTTCAGATAACTATCAAATCTGCTGTTGCTACTTAGCCGAAATCTTACTAACCGTAAACGTAAACAAATGACTGATACAGAAAGCTAATAACGTTAGCTCTATCGGCAAAAAATCTGCAACAATGATTTAAAATAACACTACAAGTCAAAAGAGACACATGGCTAATAAGGTTTCGCTGACGGGCGGGTTCAGAGAAAAAAAATGATCCCCGGCTACATTTTGTCAGCTGCTAGCATCAATTCCGCCAGCTAGCAAGCTAACTTTAGCGTCGAGATAAGAACAATCGACACTCGCGAGTGAAAAAAACGAATGACATTCCTGACAAACGCTTGTGAACAATCGCACCAAGCATCAATAAAACGCTAAGGAGAAAACGTACCGTTTATGGTCCACTGCCTGAAGGTCTGACAAGTTACCGTATAGACTGTTTGCAGCTCGGGCTCACATAAACACAGAGCGTCACGGCTAGAACCACGCCCTCCGGCTCGAGCCTTCATATTTAAACCATTTAATCCGGACGATTACTTTATTCGGGGATAAAGTCAAATTACTCTTTACTTTCTTTAGGCTTTTGCGTAAGACTAAAAGGTCCTTTACTTTGCCAGTATAAGTAAGTATGCCAGGAATGCATTCACACTCATGTCCAAGATCAGAACAGTCGACTGGTAGGGACAACGAGCAAATGGTTTCACAAATCTTTGAAGCGATCGGGTAACAAACGCACCTTAAACTGTGATCATTTTCCTATATTTCCCTTGGACGACCCAGAATACACAAGGAAAACTGATAGCGAAGTCCGTTTCACGGTAACTATTGAACTACAGTAGCGCATGGATGGATTAAGATATCCTACCAGACATTCCCAAGCTCCATGCCGCATCACACGAGGATTTATCTGGTAAAATATAAGAAATGTGCAGATTGTAATGAGTATTTGACTATTTTCTTACATTCTTTAGATCATAAGATAAAGAGAAGATTCATCATGATGAAAACACAGTCAGTAGTTGTAGCTCTATCAATTTTCCAATCCCCCCCATTTTGCCTCCAACAAACCAGTGGAGTAAACGAGCCTTAAACCGAGACCAGAACCTGACCTTACCCACACCTTAAAAACCCAACCGGTGCTGCCTCAGAAACACATTTTTGCTTTATTTCATCCATTACAGACCATAAGACCTTAACGTTTATCTGCTGGACCTCCATAGGTCTCTTGATCGGGTCCTCTACTTGTAAGACATGCATAGATACAGAACAAATGACAGTTTGGTACATAAAGAATCTAATTACATTAAAAATGAGACCATTAGAATCTGAGTAAAAGTCTAATCTAAACCTATTCACCTGTGTGGTCACATTCACAAGACAAAGAAATGTGACACTGGAGAGCCAAATCAAAATAATTTATTTTTGGTGACATTTCATACAGTTCTAGGATTGTGTCTCAAACACTTGGTTGATCCATATATTTCCTTTTGTTACCTCAAACCAAATTAACAGAAAATAACCCAAACATATGGAGGGGTGGGGGAAACAGTTCCTGTATTTGCAAGCCTGTCGGCATCAACCATATGCTTCTAAAATGATTTCACATTACTCATGAGTAAGATTCTTTTTAAAAACAAGTTAGTGCATTTATTTAATTATACTAAATCACTAGCTGCTCTTACTCATTAATGAAATGAAACAACAGCCCCAGTGATTTACTTGTTCACTGCATTACTAAACCCAAAGGCAATGCATCAAGTATTTTCTCAGCTGACATCTTGAACAGTATATAAATGCCATATGCATGATTTTGTTTTGCCAATGCGATTTCACACAACTTTGGGGAAACCAGCCTACCAAGATTGGGAGAAAAGCGTTGCGCATCAGAATTAAAATAAATACGCTTATGAAGCACAGTCAAGCTTAAAAAGTATCTAAGCCAAACTATTATCCAAAAAAAAAAAAAAAACCTCACCCTAAAAGCACAAAATAATCTGGTGGATACCTGCAGTCAAAAGCCTTCTTCTGTAAATTCAGTACTAAAACAATTACATTCTCCCACACACATTTCTAGTGAAGGGTTATTACAATATAGCACAGGCAACTAAACCTCTACAGCTTCTTCAAAATCCAGTTTCACAGCGGCTAAAGTTTTCCCAAGACTACATTATTTAGCAGACCTCCAATAAAAATCAAAACTTTACCCTAGCACACTATGATCATAGGCAGCTGGCACATAGCACAGGAAAATGTTCAAATTCTCTTTGTACTCATGATTTGGGCTGCCAAATATCATGTAGTCAACAGCACTCCCTACTATTTTTGACACTATGCGCCTGTTACGAACAATTCACAGATAAGCTTAACCTGGATATCCTGTGACATAGAAAAGCTGAACCTCACCTACGTCATCTGGTGCACCGAACAGTCAAATCTTTCCATTAACCTCATTCTTTTCCATGTGAAAGACATCACCTGCCTACGCAAACAAAACGTGTAAACAGAGATTCTGACCGATTATCAACATGACAATAATATGAATCAGACTGAGTACACCCAAAAATATTTCAGCAGAGATCAAACTTAACATGAAAAACATTGGACCAGGCAAGCAGGTTCACCATGGCCAACAGGCCGGTGAGTACCCCAAAGTCGATTTCAGCTTGGAACAAAACCACACACCTGACTGTGGCTTACATTGCCAGTTTCTGACTGATACAATTCACGCTAATCATAAACCAAGATCAAAATACCACCACAGGACATATTTCATTAATATACATTTGAGGACCACACAGCCCAGTTTTAGGACAATGATTCGGAATCTCTGATGTAAAAATCAAAATTCATCCATTTCATTAAATCAGTGCAACAGCGCACTGTAGCACTTAAACCATTGTATTTAACAATCTATGCATACTCGGACATCAGTCAACCCTTCAATCATACTTGCAACCCTAAGCACACAAGAAAAAAAAAAAACTCATTGCGCGTTAGTGATATCTTTGTATATGTACATGATGTATATGCATGTTCTTTTCTTCCTAGTGCACATTGTTCTTGCAGATCAACATCTATTCTTTAAAATTTTAAAAACAAAAAAAGGTAGAGGGCCATTTATAGGGCCCAGCTTCCCACCTCTCCCTAGCAGAGTACAACTGACATGGCCTCCAGATAAATCACACTGGAATTCTTTTAAGTATAATGCCAGAAGCCAAAACAACATTTTTGTTTCCTTTTCAAAATCACTCAGAGTTCTTCGGGTGTCATTCTGCCCATCAGTCCTGGTCTTATTGTCATTTTCAAAGCTTTTCATTGGACACGTTCCAGGGGGAAAGGTGGCTACCATAATGTTGTTGCTTTTATGTTATTCATTTTTATATAATTATATATATCCGTGTATATATATTCATACATCTTTTTTCTATTCATAAAGTTTTTACTTTGGCGATACTGGTGGGATATTCTGCTCTTTGCCAGTGTGCCTATAGCCTCCCTGGGGGGAGCTGCGTCGGGCCGGAGCTGGGCGCCTCTGCTCACGGAACTTGAGGCCAGCCGTGCCTCTGGGGCCATTGCTGCGGTAGTAGCCTTGAGAGTCACGTTCACGTGGCGGCCGGCTCTCCTTGCATTCCCATCCCCCCTCCCTGTCATGGCCTTTCTCTTGCTTGTCTCCAGAACCACTGCTGGAGCCCAACTCTTCAGCCTTGTTCACGCGCAACTCGCGTAATGGCTGGCCTGATGCGGTACCAGAGGAAGCTTGGGCAGGGGCCGCAGGGGGAGGATCCTTAGGTGGCCGTTGGCACACCTCGGCGTAGCTGAGCTTACGTGGCTCCTGAAGCAAAGTGGGAGAGAAGAAAAAAAAAAAGGCAATTTTAAAAGATGACACAATCCCATTTATACATTCATTTTGGTGAATCTGTGTCAATCCCTCAGATCTCATAATCTTAACGCTCATTGGGGTAGGAGTGAATGTTCTGGACTTGTGGTGAGAGACAGAGACAGAGAGAGAGAGAGACTGAAGAAAAGGTGACAGAAAGGAGGGAGAGGACCAAAGCCAGTATGTTCACTACCTCACTTCCCTCTATGCGCAAAAAAATCTCATCAACAGGAGGACAACTATAGACAAGTGGCTTTCAATGCAAAGAACCAGATTTCCGCATTCTCACCTGTGCTGGGGTGGGAAGAGTAGCTGTGGCAGGGGCAGGCGTGCTCTGTGCCACGAGTGTGGACGACTGAGGCCTGGAGCCAGGTACAGGCTGTGTGGAGGAGGAAGGGTTTACGGTAGTTTGAACAGGTGTGCATGGGGTCACTTTTGGAGCTGGGATCTCTGCCCGCTCAACCCTCTTCTCCTGGCGAGTGATACTGCAGAAACAAGTGTTTCAGTCAAGTCAAGATTTTACATTTAGTAATTGTTAGAGATGTCCCAGTGTGATACTATGTATCCTAACTGCGCATATGACAAATAAACACTTTGACTTTGATCAGGGCATATTTCAAAAGATCAGTATCGGTCAGAATAAAGCTGATCCAATTGAGATCCGAATTTAGAAGGACAGTCTTGTATTCCAGCGGAATAAGAAAGTCATACCCAGGTGCTGAGGGTCCTTACTGTCTGTTATTTGTCAGTGTTTTGGGCCATAGTTTCCATTCTCTGAAGAGTTTCTATACAGTCTCATGCAAAAGTTTAGGCCTTCTCTGTGTGTTCTTGTACATCAAACACCTCCTGTGAATGAGTGAACATGTGCCCCGTACAAGCACAAGCGCGAGCCTCCTGCGATGTGTACACGAGACACCGTTTTCAGCATAGACACTAAGTTTTGTGCTTTTGTCCGGTGGTGCGACAACAGCCACCACCTTTTGTTAACGTAGTATTATTTAATAGTCAAACAGGAATATCTAAACTGGACCGGTTACACAAACAGATACAGTGCAGTACGTGCGCTGTAGTAAATCTATAGTTCTGTGAGTGTGTTGTCCAGCTCCCATTTATTCTTTTATACATATAAATTATTTAAGCTAATGCTATTTTGGAGCCAGGATCTGATTCAGTGTTTAGATAAAGAAGCTCCTGAAAAATACAGTGTTCCTGATTAATTTCAGTTTCAATATGTCAGATATTTAATGAGCATTTACAGTAGGTGAATGCACAGATATTTAATAATAAGAGAATTAGATCAATATTGGATCAGGACATTCAAAGTACTAAGTATCCTGAATTGAATTGTAATTATTAAGAAAGTCATACCCAGGTGCTGAGGGTCCAAGTGGTTGTGTAGCAGGTTTGGCTGCTGCCAGAGCAGGACTTGAGACAGCCACAGCCTGCTCCATGACTGGGGCTTGCCCTGAACCCGGACTCATGGTGGCTTCTTTATTGGTGTTGTCCATCTATAAAAGGCAAAGACGCATGCCCTTTCAACCTCTGGACTCTCCCTATGAACAATAATTTTGGAGCAATATATCCAAAATATCTGCAGACTGTTACAGTCTCAGTTTCTTACCTTGTCTTTGTACAAACCACGTACAACATCTGACAAGCGGTTTTCATGAACTGGCTCCCCCTGGGTATTGCCAATGCAGCCAGGAAGAGGTGGGAAACTGGTGGCAGCCAAGTCAAACTTGGGTGGAGAAACCTTGACTTCTGCTAGGGGCACAGGTCTCTGAGAACAGAAATTGAATACGGAACCAACAAACAAAGACCATGTGATGATCCATGCTTGAAATACAACATAAACTTTATAACAACATCACACTGTTATTTACCGTAATCCGTTCATCTTCTCGCCGCCTCCGTGTTCCCCTGTAGGTTGTGCTCCGTCTGAAACAAAAATAAATGATCCGTCAACAGTGACTCAACAGTCAAATATCACTGGTCAAATCTCAGGTTATGACAAGCAGCTGTTTTGCTCAGGCACAAATCAGACTAACTAAAACCATTAGGTGACACTGGTTTACCTTCCACGTCCAGCCATGCCACCGTCGTCACTGGGGTCCAAAGAAGAAGCAGAGGAGAGATGGGAGAATGCAGTGCTCAGGTCAGAGGCTGTCTGGACTGGGTTAGTGGTCGTGGAGGGGCCAACAGGAGTGGAAAGCTGTGGACTACGCAGCCCAGTCAGACTCTCCAAGGAGACAGGAGGTATGGCTGCTGGGGTCACCTCGCTCGTCCTCACCTGGGGCTTCACGTGGTTTCTGTTGCAGTGGGGGAAACAGGTGAAGATTAGCAAGGTCAATCAGTAAAATCACTCACCATACCAGCAACCAGTGTTTCCTTTAGTGTCTTTTGCTTGTGAAAATCATTCTGTTCCAGCACGTTTAGAGTAAACTTGGTGTTACACTGATGGATGGTTTTCACATGTAAGCCCAGACACTAGAACCAACATAACCTTTCCATTACTGTCCAGCATTATTCAACACAGCTGTTGACTCCATAGAAACATTCTTGACACATACCACCTGTATTTAGAATGCAGAATGTTGAACTAAACTGAGCAAATAAAACTGGATGTTTATGGAACGTTAACGTTGGGCTGGCGAAGTGCAGGGGGTCTGAGACACGGGGTTTCATTCTCAGTGGAGAGCCGATAAAGCTCGGTGGCCAGAGTGGGCCACCTGCTGGGGACATATGGTGGCCACAGACCATGGTTAATGTCAAACCCCAGTGTACCATTCCTAGTGCTGTTCAGTAATATATAAATAATTGAGTGCTTTTAATATTGTCATGTTGTGGAAAATGTTACACAAATCCAAATGAATGGGCTGTATTATGATGAACCACTGTATGGTCCTACAAGTGGAGTGATGTCAGGCCTCTATTTAACAAAAAGGCAATTCATCTGAGGTCCATCAACAATTTTTAGATAACGGAGGCTGAAACAGCTAAAAGAGTTTAAAGGAAACACTGGTGCCACCAACTGAAACTTAAGTTTGCTTAAGGAATAGGACAGCATGCTGTGTCATGTGCAGACATGCAGAGGGCTTTTTGTATGACATTTGTCAGTTGATGATTGGTTGATGCAGAGCAGACTTGGATGTCAACATACTGCACTGTATGTTTGGCAATCTACAGTACAACCAATCATCAACTCAGTAGAGACGAGAGCACCTGTGCAAGACTTAAACACAGGCTGCTAAAGCACAAATGAAACAGTATTAAAAATCTAGCGGCATGTTTCACATGTGCTGATCTTCTCACAAATCTTTGACCCTCAAATCTCATAATCTGAATGCTCATTTGGATGGGAGTGAGGCACCTGACTGTGGAAGGACGGAGTAAACAGAAATGGAAAAAAAGGGTTAAGTTAAAGAGAAGAAAGGGGGAAAGCGAGAACCAGAGCCAGTTAGTCCACTCTCTGGTCTCCCTCTATGTGCATCATGATCTCATCACCAGGTCTGACTTGGTAAGAGTTCAGTGAGTTGCTTGTTCACTCTATAAACACAGTATACAGTTCATAGCCTGATATCCAGGCTGACCTAGACTCAATGTCAGCATTTCTTTGTTAAAGCAAAACACATGGCATATGGTAATACAATCGCTGATAAAGAAAGCCACAGTAAAAATAAAAAGCAATCACCAAATAAAACTGATGGTTAGTTGTGATGGGGAGAAACTGTTATATGTAACAATGTAAATGCAAAAGAATAGTTTGAAGCCAAGGTGGTGTTAAGTAGAAAAAGTCAACTGCTCAGAAATAAGACAGCAGCTGTCATTTAGTAGGCAAGCCTACATTTATCAAATGACTTAACAAATTCATTACCTGGCAAAACACATTTATCACATAAATGAAAAAGATTATGGCCATAACAACATTTGTCTGGCACAAAGCATGGGCCCCGGTAAGGATTTAGTCATTTGCTGCTGCAGTATGATAAGAGATGAGGTAGCGATGAAGCTTATTAAACAGCACAGCTGTGGTACCTGAAGGCATTTATTACATTCTTTCTTGAATAGAGGGGGACACTGTGGGGACAGCAAAAAGACAGGGAGTGAAGAACATGTCCCTGGTGGGGTAACACTGTCTTTAGACAAAACTTTATTACAGCTGAGCTGATGTTCGCTGTTTGACTTCATGCAAACACAGATGATAAAAACAATCCTATTAGAATATGTTTATGCAAATTGCAAACTTGAATCTGGGTCAAAACAAAACAAACAAAAAAAAAAAAAATGGGCGAGGGATATTAAGAGAGCTGGAGGCAGTTTTGTAGTGTCCAGCAGAGCCAAATCCATTCACGAAACTACTGTTGGGAAACGGTGCCTGCACAAAGAGAAAGGTCATATTAATAAATCCTTTTCCCTATTCTGGATGCAGAACTGCTTTAGAAAAACAAAGTTATTGTGTGTTTATGTCTAGTGGCTGTTCAAAATGCAAGAAAGGAAGGACTCATCTGAATTCACTCTGCATTTCCCTTCAAACATGGTGGCGATGACTAACAAGCAATTA